CCCACTGCCCATGACATGCAAGATACTCGTTTAGTTTTGCACTTCCCAATGGTACAACAGAATTGCCAAAACTATCCTCTTAGTTTGTTCTGATGCTTAGGTTTGCTTCATTCCAGCTGTCCCTCTGCTGCTTCCTCCTTCATTCTCTTGTCTTCAAAGGTGTTCTACTGATCACTTTCTTTTTTCAAACAATAATGCCAAGTTTTGTCACACCTGACACCTATTCGCAGAAATCTACTTATGGTTTTTCAAACACCTCATTCTGTTCCATGTAAGTTATTCTCTCTTTTATATATATAATATATATATATATATACACACACACATATCTCTCCTTGGGGGATACATTCCCCTTTACCTACCTGGACAAGTGTTATTCTTTAAGACTCAAGCATTTTCTTGTGATCAACCCTCATCTCTTACCAACCTCCCTCCAAATCTGGAGGATGGAGCACTCCCTCTTAGTGAGTCACACCCAACATACTGTTTACAATTGTTTCAAATGGTCTACTGTATTTATTAGGTGGGATCAAGACTGTATTATTTATCATTATAGCCTCTGTGCCTAGATAGTGTTGGGCAAGAAGTGGGCATCAACTTAGTGACTGTTTAATGAATCAATTATTCAGTGAATGAATACACAGACATGTCAAAAAAGGTTTCTCAAATATATGTGAGAGATGGCTGAATACCCCTTTCCCATATGCTGTCATCCCCATTTATTATACAGTTTAAAATACTTGTCAAGATACGATCCTCAGTTCTAGTCCCTAGAGATCCGCATGGGTGTACACATGTTTCTGACTCTGAGAACCCTGCTGAGAAACTTTGTTCTAAAGCCAGAACACTAGGAAACATCACCAGCATGAAGATGAGCAGTGGGAAATCTTCCTCTTCCATTTACCTGTATCTCTTTGAAGTCAAATGCCAGGTGCACACCATATATTTCATTGATCCTTCCATTTACCCATCTATCCATCCATCCGCCTATCCATGTATCCCTCCCTCTATCCACAACTTTTGAGACTGTCCTATACTGTGCTAGGCACTCTCTGAGGCAAGTGAACAGCAAAGTGAAAACCTACATGTCAATCAAACTGTACTCCAGAAGAATTCAGAGACAAACCACCACTTGAGTAAGAAACTTCAAGATGAGCACAGGCACAGTGAGGGTTTACATTAAGAGTGGGAACACATCAGCTTTCATCTGTCTTCTTGTCTTAAGAAGACATCTCAGGTCCTGCTCTCTGAGTTAACAGGAAATCCCTGCTCCTTTCCTATTTCCCAGGGAGGATTTAACTAGGATTTTGAGGCTGAACTGTGAGTTTCATATCTTCATCAATAACCCTTTTTCAAACATTTACAGAACGTGGTTTGTTTGGCATCAGTCTAGCCTGTGGGGATCCAGAGCGTGGCTATTTCAGAAGCTGAGTGAGCTGCCTCCCTTGTACCATACATTGCATATTTTGATAGAACATCTATTCTTTGATTTTCCTTCTCTCCTGTTGCCCTCAAAAAGCCCACAAGCTTTAACTGATTTTCTTTTGCTGAAATGTGCCCCCATCTTGCATTCCCTGCAACTTGACAACTGCCATTTGGTTTATA